CTGCAGGACTCGCGAGGACTTAACGTCTGCAGGGTAGCCGGCGGGGGGATTTCGTGAGCCAAAGGAGAGTAGTGACTACTCGTCGCTTCTAGCGGTTCGTTCATACAGTTGGTACTGTCACTGAATTACTAGAGCTGAGCGAGACTGGGATAGGGTTCAAAACTAACGAGTACCCCGGATATATGCTTTTGAGTCCATGCTTACGTATGATGGGGGCGCCAGAAAATACAGTAACAATCTAACAAGTACTATTATCAATCCTGTGAGTGCAAAAAATGTAGAGGCTTGCAAACATATCGGAGGTGTGGGGCATGATACGGAGACAATCGGTCATTACTAGTAATGATATCTAGGATGAGGAAGCAATAACGTACTCGTGCTTGGGCTGACAATGACATACAGATCTTTGAAATACATTAAAAAGAAATGGTGACCCCTGAACTACACATCTACTGCAACTGTTTTGCTGCCGCATCATCTGCTCTGCATTAGGAAAGGAGCCACTTACAATTCGATTAGACGGTTTGGTAGTATTTTGAATGAGATATGTCACAGTCATGTATTTTCCTTTCAGCGTCTCCTATCATAGTACCCAGAGCAGTAAACCAGCTTGGCGAAACCGAGGCTGATTGCTATTTATGCGTCATAAGTGGGTCTACACCTAGTCAACAATAGTGCCACTCTAAATAATCGAGGAAATATCTAAAAATTATAAATAAAAGTATAATTTAGAATTTTAAGCGATGCGGATTTAGTGTAATGCATTGGCCAGTGGTGGATCCTCCCACTTACCATGGGCTGGCTGCGCGTAAACGGGTTTTGCGCGCGAACACAGAGGGGCGAGACTGGGGGCTTGTCGCGAGATGCATCGCACCCCGTCTACCACAGCGCGCAGTGTTGTTAAGCGCGGCTCCGTTGACGTCAAGAAGAGGGGAGACGCGTGCTGCGTGTACCAAGTTTACTCCCGAGATGGAATAAGCCATCGTCAAGTACCTGGAGGACAACTGCCAGTACATGCTTGCACAAATGAGCGACATGCTTCGGTTCGACTTTG